GGGTGGGCGGGGCATCGTGATCTGCAAGTGGGCGGGGCTACAGGTGGGCGGGGAAGTGTGAGCTGCAGGTGGGCGGGGCATTATGATTTGTAGGTGGGTGGGGCTACAGGTTGGCTGGGCAGAGGGCTATAGTTGGGTGGGGCATCATGCAGGTGGGCAGGGCTACATGTGGGCGTGGCTTCGGCCTACAGGTTTAGTTTAGTTTAGTTTTATTAGGATCCCCATTAGCTGCCAAATAAATGGCCACTAGTCTTCCTGGGGTCCTCACATGAAGAAATTATATTACATTATAAACAGATCATACAAATAAAAATAAGAATCACAGTAGGAAATAATAAAAACATAAACAAGAGTAGACTATACAACATATACACACAGGTGGGCGGGGCTTCGGCCTACAGGTTTAGTTTAGTTTAGTTTTATTAGGATCCCCATTAGCTGCCAAATAAATGGCCACTAGTCTTCCTGGGGTCCTCACATGAAGAAATTATATTACATTATAAACAGATCATACAAATAAAAATAAAAATCACAGTAGGAAATAATAAAAACATAAACAAGAGTAGACTATACAACATATACACACAGGTGGGCGGGGCTGCATTCTCAGAGCTGCAGGAACCAGCTGGACTGGCTTTAGGACGCAGCTCCAGTTGGGATCAGGAAGCTGACCGTAGGTCAGAGGTCGTTCAAAAACAGGCCGAACAGAAACCTGTGGCTGGACGCTGAGGGGAGGAGTCCAGCTGGCAGCCGGCTGAGGCCTGAGTATTATTTATTCATGGTCCTGTTGAGCTGAGTACCGACAGGTGACACCCCGCCTCCCAGAGCCGGGGGTTGAGTTGCTTTGCTGCTCGGCAGTTTGATAAAATAAACGTATTTAATTATTAACCATATCTAACCAATAGAATTAGTATTTACCAGCTAAAGGTGAGGTTGTGAGGATGTCATAGTGATGATAAATGGAATATTGCGTCTACTCTGTAAGTCGCTTTGGATAAAAGCGTGTGCCAAATGCAGAAACATAAACAGGTTGGAAAAGCTGCCAGTTTTTCCTCTGATGCTGAAATCGTCACTCACATCCACAATTCAGGGAGCCTAAAGACGACCTCTGAGCTGCTGTACAGGCAGCAGGGTGGAGCCCAGAGACCGCTACAGGCTCTGGACAGCGTCTAAAAACACTGAACCAGTAACCAGACTCCAATTAGCTCTCTCCTGATAGCTGGACTGAGGCTCCATCCAGCTCTCCTCCCCACTCAGAGGCATCTGGTCCATCCACAAACCAGTCTGAGCTGGCAGGCCAAAGCCATCCGCTGCTGGTCCCAGAGTGGGACTGGAGCAGGTTCTGGTCCTTTGGGACTGGAGCAGGTTCAGGTCCTCTGGGACTGGAGCAGGTTCAGGTCCTTTGGGACTGGAGCAGGTTCAGGTTCTTTGGGACTGGAGAAGGTTCTGGTCCTCTGGGACTGGAGCAGGTTCAGGTCCTGGTCCTTTAGACTGGAGCAGATCCTGGTCCTTTAGACTGGAGCAGGTTCAGGTCCTGGTCCTTTAGACTGGAGCAGGTTCTGGTCTTTTGGGACTGGAGCAGGTTCAGGTCCTTTAGACTGGAGCAGGTTCTGGTCTTTTGGGACTGGAGCAGGTTCTGGTCCTTTGGGACCAGAGCAGGTTCTGGTCCTTTAGACTGGAGCAGGTTCAGGTCCTGGTACCAGAGTGGGACTAGAGCAGATCCTGGTCCTTTAGACCGGAGCAGATCCTGGTCCTTTAGACTGGAGAAGGTTCAGGTCCCAGAGGGGGTCTGGAGCAGGTCCTGGTCCTTTGGGACTGGAGCAGGTTCTGGTCCTTTAGGACTGGAGCAGGTTTAGGTCCTTTAGACCGGAGCAGGTTCAGGTCC